AACAATTAAAATTAATGATAAAAATAATTTAATGAATTTACCTAATAATCTGTAATCAAAATGACTCGTTGTATTTTAGTTATTTAGGCATAGTCATTTTATGCTTTAATGGTTAAAACTATTTGTTTAATCTATCTAGAGTGTATAGAGCTATTGAGAAGAAAATTAGAACTTTTAATAATTAATGAGTTTCTATGAAATAATACGTCAGCTTCGTACATATACTAGGTATAGTAATGCATATGTAAGTAAATGCATAAAGAAATAAATTATGAAAATATAAAAATACTTTTGGCTTCGAAGTAATAAGAAATTTCCAAGATTTTCGTACGCGCGCACGATGGAAAATTTGCATGATTTCTGCGATGGAAATTTCCAGAATTTCATGCGACTTTCGTAGATAATTCAGAATGATATGTTTTTCACAATTGCACGTAAGTGTGACAAGAGGAAAAAGAAAAAAAATTACAGGTTATACGCAGCGTCACGCACGTGTATTTTTTTATTTAAATAATTCAATTTCTTAAGTTTTCATCGAAGGCGAGAATTTATTCTTGGAATATTTATCCAATCGGAAAATATGTGGATCGTGCAAAACCTTATCACCGCATGCAATCAACAAATTAACGCTACTCCTATTATATTTATTATGCGCCAAATATCACATTATGCACAAATTGTCTGATAAATGTATGAAAAATATTAACGAAGTTTTATCATTCGTAATAGATCTTCGACTAGAGGTATGACTTTCCACGCAAAGCGAAGTGGACTCTATCTTCCTCCCTGTCTAGCCTAGTCTATATAATTTTCCGTGTAAAATGAAGTCCATCCCACCTTTTCCCTTGTCTAGGGGCATAACGACTTTTTGTGTAGGAGCCACTTCGTTTCGTATGGAAACTCTTACGCTCCTAGGTAGTGAGAAAGGTAGGATGGATCTCGCTCTTCATGTTGTAGGAAGGAAATTGTGAGATTTCTGTTCTTTCTGCACAGGAAACTCACAGGATCCTTGGATTTCCTGAAATTCAAGGCCCTGTGATTCTCGTTTCGCGCAAGAAGTTATTAGTAGTATGTTATAGTATGAGCTATAAAGGTAATCGCTCAATAAGGTTATACAATAAATATTATTAAAAACATGAAAGGAGTAACGTATATGTGTACGGGAGAAAAAGCATCGATAAAGGCAAAATTTATTTAAGCAACTTATGAGATTAGTTGTGAGATACTTGGTCTATATATATATATATATATATTGCAAGCCCCACACCAGTGTTGACTGAAATAGTTTGTTTTTATAATTAAAAAATCGTAAATAAAGTAGTAACTTGAACATTAAAGTTAAAAAATATAATAATAACCTATATATTTAAAAAGCACATTTGATTTTTATTAATCGTTTCAATTATCATATGGACCGCGCATTTTTGCGGAGTAATCTTTATTTAGCGCAGTAATCTCTGTCTTTGTTCTTCCTTATGCAATCATAGATGTGTCCATATATATTATAGTTATTTAGATATTTGTATTTGTCCAACTTGCCCCGCTCTACCCTACTTGATTGTTAATTATCACAACTCAATCTTGTTCAACAATGATAAAATAAATAGTAATAATAAAATAAACTTTGTATTTTTTAAATGTTAAGGTCTGTAATCAAGTATGTTTTATTATTTTATTCATATTTTGACAGTTTTAAAATTCCAATATTAGTCTCGTTTTTTTTTTCAAGTTCTTTCGATGATGCAGTAGAAGGGCAGTGGCGGCACAGTAAAAGGAAGAATAGGACCATCCTTGACGTTTTGAGGGTTGTCCTTTCAGGCCCATCATTGGTTGAGTTTAGGTATAGACTTATTTCAGACCGCCCATACATTCATCTGAGACTGTGCGAAGCGCATCTCTAGTTGACTGTTCAAATCAGTTTCAATTCGAATTTCAATACGAATAGAACTATTAGTACGAGCAGTGCATTTCGAGACTGTCCAGTGTATTACACGAGTATATTAAACATGGAATTCGTAAGTCGAGTAAGTGGCATACGATATTTGTTATATTATGGAATTCCAAATGTGTTCGCGACGGATCCGAATTTTTCGGACGTCAACCCATTTTGGTATGGCGTCAGACATCCTTGTTACGGACCTCCCGATTTGCCATTTGTGCCTGTGGATGTTACAATTAGGTTTAGAGAAGCAGCATACGAAGTAAGTTTAACATTCTAACATGCTAGGCAAATTCTGCCAACGATATCGCATTCGAAAAAAATCTTCAGGAAACGTACCTCTGTGAGGCACCCTATTGTCAAAATTTTGATGTTATAAATAGAGTTCTGGCTCTTCCTCAAAGAGTTCTAGAGTTCCTGATAGGCTTCGAAAAGAGTTCTAACGATTAAATGCAGAAAAATATGATTTCAAATTTTGGGGTGTCAACTTCACGTTTTTGCGAAAGGAAAATTAAAACATAATTTTTTTATTTCAAGTCAGAGCGAAAAAAATCACTATACTATTTGATAGAACTCTTATCAAACTGCAGGAAATACACAAAAAAAATTTCACATCTCATTGGAAATTTTTGCTACCGAAAACGAAGAATGGCCATAACTCTGTCAATTTTGATTTTAGCGCTTCAATTATTAAAAACAATCGTTAGAACTCTTGTAGAGTTACTCAGAACTCTTATTAAACTACTCGACATTAAAAAAAAATTTTTTTGCTATGTACTTATATTGATTAGACGCATTCTATCAAATTTTTCTGGATTTCCTGTAGTATAATAAGAGTTCTGAGTAGCTCTACAAGAGTTCTAACGATTTTCTTTAATAATTGAGGCGCTAAAATCAAAACTGAAAGAGTTATCATTATTTTTCATGTTGAAAATTAAATTTAAAATATTTTTATTACAAAAAAATTTTTTTTTTATTTTTTTTAGAGTTCTGAATAGCTCTACAAGAGTTCTATCAAATCGTATAGTGACTTTTTTCGTTCTGACTTGAAATAAAAAAGTTATGAATTTTCCTTTCGCGAAAACGTGAAATTGGCACTCCAAAATTTGAAATCATGTTTTTCTACACTTAATCGTCAGAACTCTTTTTGAAACCTATCAGGAACTCTAGAACTCTTTGAGGAAGAGCCAGAACTCTATTTATAACATTAAAATTTTGACAATGGGGTGCCAGCTTCACAGAAGTAGAAAACGTACTATCGCACTTTGAAGAAATTTTTCTTGTAGCACAGTGTTATTGAAACACGGAGAGAAAAGAGATTAGAAGTACATACAGAAAAATATCAATCTATTGCTAAAAAAAAAATGATTACTCAATTTATTTTCTTTCTTTTAAGTAACGTTATCTTTAACAAAGAATATTTCTTTATAATAATCAAGGAGCTGCCGGAATTAGTAGAACCAAATTCCTATGAATCTGGCAGGAACGCCAGAAATATAGAAGTGAATACAAGTCGTGCAAGAACATTCTCGCAGTCTCACAATGATCGGCACCACTCGGGGTCTTCTCACGATGATCGAAATCATTCCCAATCTTACAACGATCAGGATCGCTCGCATTACCTCCAGTCTGACAATGAGGAGCATCACTCGCATTATCCCCAGTGTGACGATGATTCGTCAGATATTGATCGATAAAGCTGTTACGATACCAGCGTTTCTATATAAACAGTAAGTACATAAATAACAATTTTATTGCTAAATAACTTGAATTAATATTTTTAATTAATATTGTAATAGATAAGTTTGTGATTAACATTTAACATTGTTTAATTTGTTATTTTTAGGATGCTAAATGCTTTTACTGAAGAGGAAGGAAAATGTTACACATTTATTTAATTATTATTATATTATTATTAATTATTATTATATTATTATTAATAAGCTTTATTGTAATAAAGATTAAATAAACTTATGTATATATGCAATTAAATTTAAATTTACATGCAATATTACATTTATAAACAATATTAAACAACGCATATACAATATTAAATTTATTCAGAATTGTGTGTTTATTTATGAATACTTATACCTACTTCCTCGGAAAAATTGGCGAGTTCGCAATTTCTAGTAGCGACATCCTAACATTTTTCTCGTCGACGATCGATACCTGAACTCTCGTTTGCTCGGTGGACGCTTGGTTCCTTGTAGGCGAACATCTAGATGACACTTGGACACTTCCCTGATGGCGAACACGCGGACATCGACTTCTTCGGAGGCGGTCACTTAGACACCGACTTTCTCGATTGCGAATATTTGATCGTTTTCCGGCGTCTCTCTCTCTCTCTCTCTCTCTCTCTCTCTCTCTCTCTCTCTCTCTCTCTCTCTCTCTCACACTCATATCTTTTTTGCCTCTTGCTCTCAATTTCTCTTTCATACTTTGCTATCAATCATATACACAATGATGTTTACGCGTCCAGCGGTGCGTTATATATTTTTATGCACTTGGCGTAGCAATGCTACCGTGTCGCTAGATCTCAATTAGGATGTACTTACTTAAATGAAGTTGAAAATAAACTAAAATGTAAACTTGTACACGTTTTGATTTAACTCCTTTTTAATACATAATTAGTGAAAACAAATATAAACTAGTATAAATTCGTTTGTATTCAAATTTTCGCATTGAAAAGAATTCAACTAGATTTGAAACGTCTGTGGGTTTTCATTTTATTTATAACTTTGTTGAGTAAGTATATTCTAATTGCTTGTGGGTAAATTGTATTTTATCACTTATGAATATTTAATTTACTTACAAACAACCGTGGAGATTATTACCGCATAGGCATTTTTTTTGTATTGGAATAATTTTTTGTTGCTTGTTCTCCCAATATGTTTAGGTATTATTTTCTTTACTTTTACCTCACGTATGTGAAGAGTTCAAATAGACCTCACAGGGAGTTTCGATTGAAATTCTAACTTCGAATTGCGAGATTCGTTCACTCAGATTTTGAATTTTAATCTCGTCTGGAATATTAATTACTTTGTTTTCTATGTTACAGCGTATTACAGTGATGAATCCGTTCCAGCATCGCACATGTACATGTCACCATCATCACCAGTATCAATGCAGCCCCGCGAGTTCGTAGGTAATAAACGCACAAAAAACAAGAAACTCGACAAGAAACGTCAAGTCCACCAAGAACGGGTTCACCCTTGGATGATAGGTACGCTGAAGGGACATACTGGCTTGGTAAACGACATGAACTTTTCCAGCAATGGCAGATATCTCGCGAGCTGTGCCGATGGTATGTACTAAAACAAAAATAAAAAAATATTTACTTTCCTTGTTTGCGTAACTCTAATCGATGACATAATATATACGAAAGGTATTATAAAAGCTGATAAGAATTCGTTTTGAGAGAATCTATCTTGCTTTTATAATAGTTCAATTTACATTAATAATATTTGTTTTTTAAATTGAATGCCGATAAACGTTGAATGCTACATTGCTTTTTGACTTAGAAATAGATGATAAAATTTTATTATATATTTTTTATTACGTGATTTTTTTCTAGTGTTAATAATACAAAATAATTCATTATTTTTATTATTTGTATTATTGTGATTTTATGATATTATAATTGTCCCGCGTTTTTATCAAAGAATTATGTTTGAACTTGATGTAATTATTTTAAGATTAAATATTGATAAACAAAGCTGTCGATGTCAAAATACTAGTAAAAGAAGAGTAATTTTATTTTACGATTTTACATGTGTCTAAATAATACACTTTTAATAGTGGGTCCCAAAATTATCCACTATAATCATTGTAATTTTACAGTTTATAGAAAGGTCATAATTATTGACAAATGTCACCGTAAGAGTTACGTTATAGTAGGAGAAAGTTTCTTCTATTTTCTATTTTAACTTTCTTCTATTTTGAATCCATTTCGATCTGTTAGTATAATGATCCACACAACGCAAAGACACAATAAATTACGCGACTAATCGATTAAACTTGCAAATCGACTAATGTATTTTTTATATATTATGTCGCGCGCGGAATTATACATGCATATTCGTATGTAGATAACTGGCTCGTATGTAGATACTAGCGGCATAGTATCACTTCTCTTTCTTTCTTTCTTAGCTAATTTTCCATTTTGCAAGCCGCATTTCCCATCACAAGCTTCCCGCAATTTAGAATCGATAAAGTCTAAACTTCGTACATGTTCACTCGTATAAAAAAATTTTTTTGCAAAATAGCTTGATCATTACTTTTTGTTTATAAACAAATATAGGCTTGTATTCATAGTCAGGTCTTATATTTAAGACTTCCTTAAATTTATCTTCAGATGCTCGAATTATTTCATTGGTTACTGAGAATCTGAAGAAAAATTTAAGGAACCCTTAAGTACAAGTTCTGACTATGAATACGGGGAATAGTCTGTTTACAGTGAAGAACACTGTGTATTTTTAGTCAATACTAATCTTGATGTCTTGTAAGAGATTAAACATGAATATTTTATGTTATATATGAACTGACAATTACAAGTCTGGGCAATGTAAATAGCCGAAATATATTTTGCAATAAATTATGAAGTTTCGAATTAAGATACCATGCCGCTAAATATATAAATATAAAAATAATACCGCAAATATTATGAGTATCATATCGTGGATAACATATTGTGGAGGAAATATAACAAAAAAAAATATATGTATGCCCAGATTGATTATTATAAATACTACTAGATAAGAATATTAAACCCTGTTAAATCGCGACAGACGAATTTACATAATCTGGCACATTATAGAAAAAACATTATGGGCCGATTGTTCCATCTTTTGGTAAAGTTTACTTGTTAGGTAAGTAGCAAGATTGCCCAATCACGTGTGCAGATTGCCAGATTTACCTAACAGGTAAACTTTACCGAAAGATGGAACAATCGGCCCTATATGTTTTCAATAGGTCACCGATATTTGATGCAAAAATCAATGCAAAATTTTGTACAATAACGCATATTTTATATATATATATATATATATATATATACAAAATTTCATTATCTTTATAACGCGTTGTAATTTTCCGTAATCTTCTAAAGCGTTTAACTTTGATAAGATAAGGAACAAGGCGCACACAAACTTGCATAATTTCATTTGCGAGTTTTGTTTGGCTTTTTGACAACTCTAAATTGATTTTTCTAAATCAATCGTTCGCACTTTTTGTCCGATTTTTATGTTTTTTTTTGCCTTTCATGTCTTGGCAGCGAACTGTTGGATGTGCGTGAATATATCGTGCGATTTTTCATCTTAAAAACGGTCATACTGAATAAATTTCAATGATTTGGTAGAAATCAATCTTATATGCATGGGTCGCTTCTCAAAAACAGAATATTGTACGCTTTAATCACGCACATTAATTACGCACCTTAATCATGCGACGTTATCGTCTGACAGTTCATTGCCAAAACATAATCGGTAAAGAGGCGACAATAAACATGATGTCTAATATGAAAATTAGGCCAAAAGTTGTATTTAATGCCGATCATTATTCTGAATAATTTAAATAATTTAGCTAATCAAATAAATTGAGATTCCATTTTAGAGATAAAATTTATGTAACTTTTAAGTAAATAGGTGGAATCAAATTAGCTCAAACAAATTTTATCTTTATAGTTATAATTTCTAATGATACATTATTTTATTATATTTTTATGAGATAGAAGTATAAAAATAATAAATTTTAAGACGTCTCTCTCTGATCAATATTTTTTATTGTCAAGGTTTTTAAAATAATTATACGTAGGATGCTCTGCGTGCGTGTTGCCACTTACGTACGTAGAGATTAAGAGGTGAGGCAAAATCTAATCTGATTGCGTAAAAGTAAAAAGGATTAACTAACTTGAATACACATGTTCATTACACATTTCTTGTTTATGTCGTCGTTTAAATAAAATGCGAATAAAGTATTGTACGGCGAATATAAATTAATTGAATAGAGATAGTTGGTTCAGGGCGGTAGGTCAGTGACGTTAACGTTTCACGGCGTGAAACATTAATGCGACTACTACATAGAATTACTTTGTATAAGAAAACATCGTAGTCTCATTGGCTTGGAATATTTGTGTCGTTTTTGTATTGTAAGAACAAAGTCTACATCAAAGTTGAGAAATAAGTTTTCGGGAAGATAATAGTTTATTTCTAGGCAATTGCAGCGCTAGCTTAATTAACAAAGATTATGGAATAATAAAACGTTTTATAAAGCATTATGCGCGACATTTTAATAAATAATGTTTATTAATTTAAGGGAGTATTGTTTAATATACCTAAGAGAGTATTGTTTAATGTACCCACCCAAATTGTACCTCATAAATTTCTTGTTATTATTGAACATATATGACAGTTAATGATAAAAATATACAATAAATAAAAACTGATCAAAATTTCTAAATTATTTTATTTTGCACACATATTTAAAAAAATCGGGTACACTGATGTAATTTTTAATAATCAATTTATTTAGTCGATAATAATCTAACAAATATGTTCTGCATTTTTATAAAGGTAGATTTATTGTAAAATATATATATTATATTTTATATTTATATTATAATTATTATAAAATTGATATGATATTTTTTTCAAATTTATCATATTTTTTAAATCATCACCGGTTTTTTTACAATTTGACAATTTATGCTTATTTATCATATATTATTTTTATAATTATATAGTCAGTTATATATACTTATAAAATGAATATATTTAATAGGTGAAGAAAAACATCTTAAATATTAATTCTCAAATCGTATCATTAATTATATTATTATTTTATATTAGTTTATATTATTTGGATATTTTTTACTTTTGTAAAAAATTTTGATTGTTATTAGTATATTGTATATAAACCATTTCAGTCATATGTTTTTATTATTCGTAAATATACTATTTTTAAACGAGGTGTTCTTAAGAACCGATAGTTATGATTTAGGAGACCGATTGTTTAAATTGTATTTTTTACTACCTATATATGTATACATAAAAGGCTTATAACAAATTAATTGTTAGAATATAATATTAGATAGTAGGTACATATATTAAACATCCAGCTTCAATTTCCAAAATTAACTTGCTTGTATTAATATATAATAAGAAGTATTATGACATAGAATATAGTACGGTTTAATTCTCCGTATACAATGTATACCTATAATATGTATATTAGCTGTCTCTTAAAGTTTAAAATATGTAATACATATTATTAATTCTGTTACATACAATTTGACATTGATTATTTCATTGCGATACGATATTCTAACGGAATATTACGATTATGTTATCTAGGATTATCCAGTTCTCAGACTCGTCACTAAATACATCAATAGATACGCTCTAAATATATATGCGAAACGGAGCTAGATAACGTCAAGTTCGCAAAAAATCAATAAATAATAATGTAATAATCTCATACCGCATATTAAATCAGCTTCCTAATCAAGTAATCGACAGCCATTAAATTGTAGATAGCTAGAAATTCTAACAGCTTGCCGTTAATTTATCTCGTAAGCACCGATCACAAGTCTCCTATTAGTCAGACTCCAATTTAAGCTTTTGAATGCAGTTTGTCGGTCGGTCGGCGTCGTCATTCATTTCATAATTCCGTTCGATGGAAATTATCGCGGGAATCCTCGGATTCTCATGTCTGTAACGACTTAGTCACGCTTCACCGGAAAGTAGTACCAGGTTTCCTCGAACGGACAAAAGAGAGAAAGAAGAGGAATGATTTTATTAAATGACGCAACGGTACATATTGAAACGTCGCACCGTCATACCGCATTCCGTTACTTGAGCAACAAACGATTCCCTCTTATGTCCGCGTCTTCCCTTCTACGTGCGTTCCCGCCTGTCTCTATCTCTCCTTCCGTTGCTTTCGCGGGCCGGTTCTCGGCCCGCTCTTTCCCGTTTGGGCGCGCAGTTGGCTCGAATTCAATTATCGATATCCCGCTTCTGCAACGCCGGCGAAACTTTCGACGCGTTTCGGTATTACTCTCATTAACGTCGCAATTTGCGTTTACTCTTTACCGACACGTGGCTAAATCCGATCTCGCGTGATTCGAATGACGTCTCCGAAGAGGTACCTGCGGTGGAAGCTTACGAATCGAAATCTCGAATTTTTTAAAAATTGTGCGGAGAAGTCAAGTAAGTAAAAATATATTAATAGCGAGAAATAAAAGAAGTTGAATGAATATACAGGATATACATTAATATACAGAATATTTATTATCTGGGTTTATTAACCATATCGCTGCATTTCTAAATAATTCAAATACGACTATAGCGTTGTGTATCTGGTTTCCTGGAAAACTCGATAGTCCGGATGTATTTTTAACGAAGAAAAAAATTATTAAAAAATTTTAGGTTCAAACACCTTCTATTAGGTTAGGTTTATGTAAAAGATTTGTTATATTTGTTAAATAAAGTTGAAAACATTATCTTGATAAAATAAAAACTTAAAGCAAAACTGTCATTCATTCTTCATGCTCTTTTTTTCTATTCGTTTAGACATAACTTTTTTTTAACTTTTTCAGATTTCAATTTTCTAATTTATTTTGTTCTAATTAATTTCATTTGATAGGAATTTTGATGGGAAAAGTACAGATCTTTAATATCAATTTAATATCTGTTACTTTCTCCACGAGAAACGTATCGTTTCTTGGACAATCACGTGGATGTTTGGTAAAATGACTTAAAGATAATGTTTACGTTCGAAGAAACTATAGAAATAATATAATATAAATATAAATAAGCTACATATAAATTGAAAATTAGTAATAATACTGATAATATAAATAAAATTAGAAATTAAAACTTAAAAAGCAAAATTATCATATTGTATATGTGCAGCTTCACTCTTCTTGCTCTCATTCTTCTTTCTTATTCATCTCTAAACAGAAACTTAACGTCTTTAAATTTCGGTTTTTTAATTTATCTTTCCTAACTAATTCTATTTGATGCGATTCTGGATGGGAAAATCACTGATTTTTAACATCAACTTAATTTACTTTCTCTGCGAGGAACGTATCGCGTCTTGGGCAGTCAGTAATAAAGTAAAATTTAAAGATAATTGTTATATTGAGTAAAAACTATATAGAAATAATATGTAAATATAATTTGCATACAGGATGCGTTAAATATTTACTATTTTAAATACCATTAGTCATGCTATTTTTTTAAGGGCAAATACTTAGCATTTGCGAATAGGGGCACCTACGTCGTACATGCGTCTTGCTTCGCGAGATGTTTCTCCTTCGGCCAATATACGGGCGACCGCGCGATGCAACCGCGTTCTCGCTATTTTTATCTCGACAAGCGTCCAAACACGCGAGGACGTGACCGAGGCGGCTGACCGGTAAAAAGTAATACATACTGTGTTCTTTTTTTTTTGTTGTTAATACAATTAGTGAAAGTCGCATGTAAACGCTTCGTTGAGTTTACTTTTACATTTTTATTACCGTTATTCTTATATCTCAAAAGACAGCCTAATTGTCCCTCTCGTATGATGGATTGGTTCTCTCTTCTCTCCCGGTTAACAATCAGAGCGCGAAGTGACATTAGCGAGTATCATGATGGCGATAGAATGAAATAATCGCATCGAATTAGATATTCGTTCGAAGCGAGGTGATTGTCGAGAGGAGTTTGTAGAAGATCGTTTCTTTTGTAAATAAAGTTGACTTTGATTTACAATGAAATATGAGGTGATTGTAAAAATGCTTGTGCAGCTTCTAATTTTTATAACATCTGGTATATACATGATAAAATTAATCTATAAAAAGAGTAAATAAATTTATTTAAGTTTTAAATACATTTATTCTTTGAATGTTATTTCTCAATCTATTGACGTTATTACAGATGGAGATAAATGAAAACTGAAGTATTTTCAAGACCCACAAATAATGCGTTTTGCAGTTATTTATAATATTTTGAATTAGATTAATTTTAATCTGTAAACCTTCTAATCGATATCTTGGTAAATAAATATGTTCTTATAAGAAAAAAATTCAATGGCTCCAATTTCATGATGGTGATTTTTTGTTAAATAATAATAAATTAGTAGTTCATTTTTTTAATTTTGGAATGTTACTATGGGGAATTTTCTTTTAAGTGCAAATTCATATTGAAAACAGTTTTTACAATATTATTAAAATTTTGATACTTTAAAGTAACATTTAATAAGATTGTTTATTGAAGTTTATGTAAAAAAAATTCCTAATTATGTAGGTAAATTTTTATCTATAGTAGTGTCGAAATGTAAGAAAAAATGAGAGTTAATGTATACTGAATTTCACTAAATCACTATTTTAATGTTTTTATTATATGTATATAGAACAAAAGAGAAGTTATGGCAATTGCATAAGGATTTTATGAACATCCTGTATATATCTCCCACAATTAGTGTAAAATTATATTTTTCTGAGGGGATCCTTATCAGAGTGCAAATTTCGAAATTGCTTTAGGATAAAACAATACGAAACGAATCGATTACTCATCGCTTCTGATACCTATTGAAGCATACATAAACGCAACTGTTATTATTCGAGCAAATGCTCTTTGAAGAAAAGGACGAATCCCCCCCTCCTCCTTATATCTCTACATGCAAGTTTCTGTTCTCGACGCGACTCCGGCATTATACATGTCTCGCGGATCATTCTTTTCCGCACGGAAGCTGGTACGTAAATTCCGGATCCCTACCGGCAGTAACCCCCTCCGCTCGGGCGGAAATATCGTGATGCGTCATGCGTTTGCACAAGATAACGCGGATGCGAATAAAAACAACGCGCCGTCGCGAAGACGTTCTTCGCGACTCGTCTTCCCAAAATTATTCACGAATACATATCGTCGCGAAAGCGCGCAGTCATTTGGATGTTTTTCCCTCGCTATGATCTGCAGCAGTACGAATCGCTGCATTTATGAATTGAGTGGCACGAAGTCACGAATGCCGCTGAACGACATATTCAACAACACACGGACAAAGTACGGCTGGCACGAATTACGTATGTGACGTTTCTTTTTTTCTTTTCTTCTAATTTTGAGTATCTTTCGACAATACAGATGGCATAGTGTAACACACGCACGCACACTAGTGAATCTACATCACTGTGAACACAAGTGTGTAAAAAGTGACTTTAATATATGTGTAAGTTTAGTTTTTTATGTAAAAATAACACTATACTGCATACAAATATGCATTTAAATGTATAGTATAAAAAAAGAATAATTTTTACGGAAAAAACTAAATAACACATACATATTGAAGGTTTCCATTTTTACATACTTACATTTACAGTAGTCCTTATTGTTTGCCAATGTTAAACAAAGACGAAATAATTCACTATGTTACACTGTGGTGTTCCGTAAAACGCATAATGCGCATGATGTATCATTTATCTTTTTATTCCTACCGAATGTTAAACGAAACTGAAATGATTATCATGCGCATTATGCGCTTTACGGAAACAGAAGTATACTGTGTCTTTTACTCGGAAATAGGGATACCAGATCGTAAAATTATTAGATATCGGGTATCTAGGAATGCAATTTTTCGAGTCGGATAATCGATATTTTTCAGGTCAAGTTCAATTGAAAAGAAAAGAATGACACAAACTTTCAATATAAAATTTTAGTCGAATGTATTGTCGAATACTAATGATATCCGACTATTTTACCGGGTAGCAACAAAGTACCAAATAATACCGAATACCAAATATTTTCTGACTATACAATGTATACCTGCTGAGAAACGCCTTTCATCTGACTATACCTGCATGGTGATCCTACATTTGCTCTACCTGTGCTTTGCGTACTGTATCGAGCGTTCGTCTGTATTGAAATATCTACTGGTGTATTATCACGTTTTTCTCCGAAACCCTGAATAACAGAAGTGTACAACAGATGTGCTATTGACATCTGAAGGTACATTAATCCTTGAAAATTCCTGTTTTTTGTTCTCAATATTTCTTATTATTAGAGAATTGCACAAGCATATTTTGCATTTATTAAAAGAATTCTATTGTTTTTTACTAGCTCGTGCTTTTTTTTATTTTTATATTTGTTCCGTATTTTGTTTTCATCCGATTGTCGCTTAAATGAAAGTGATCTGATCGATTCTAAAAGATTTTTTATGATCATACTTTTGCTTTTATCTCGCAAGATTATTCGGATAATTGCCGATTCGAATGTCCGATTTTTGTCTGTTTTCTGTTTGTACACCTATGTACAAAACGTAATGAACGAAATCATGTCAACCTGAAAATTCACAGTTTTCTTCGTACACACAAAGCGAAAGTCTTCGTCATGATTTTAACGACAATGAAAGAATACATATCGCGCGGATTATCGCAAAATCGGCACGTGAATAAATTTCGCGTAGTCTTATCTGTCTTATCGTCTGGTCTTAAAAGAAACGAAACGGTATCTTGTTTAAACGTTCAATTTCTCTTAGAATCAATCTCGCAGGAGTTCGTTGAACATCCGCTTTGCTTATCAACCATTTGCACTGTTACTGAATATTAACAGAGATTTCTTTATTAATTAGAATAATTAAACAAAGAAAGAAAGAAAGAGAAATGTAGAAGGATCAGATTTGCATGCGTGTGTTATGTGTGTGTGTGTGTGTGTGTGTGTGTGTGTGTGTGTGTGGTGTGTGTGTGTGGTATCTTTAAGTAGATTGCGCGGAGTAATTTATATATATTTGTTTGTCCCTATGAAATAAAGATGAGAGCTTACGAGAGACAAGAAAGCATGTCCAGTCCTCCGGGCATATGTATAAGAAAAAAGAGTCCAAGAAGAAGACATCTTCATCACAGCAGACAGACTGCAGAGAATCGCAAAGTTTCGCACGTCGCGAAGATAAAGAAACAGGAAAAGCGTCCAGGAGCAGGACTCGGGGCTCTTCACTGTTTTCTTTCCAACACGTCAGTAAGGTGTCGGAGGAGCCTTCATCGCTCGAGGTATTTACCAGTGACACATCCAGCAATGATGACATCCCGGACGAGAGCCAGTGGCAGATGATGTTCCTGAACGATATGCCTACCTGCTTGGCTTCCACGATCAACAAATATACACTGTCACCGAAGGAATTGTTCGAACATGGTTATCCCATCGAGTCAACTCTCTTTCCGGGTTATGCGATGATAAACAATGTATCATACCCATCAGGCCCCAAGATTGAAAGTGACAGTGGCCAATACACCAATTCTAGCTCGTCCGACAATTCCGAACAGGAGAGTTCGTCCGACAACGAGAAGAACTTCAACAAAGAAAACAGTCATGATAAACAAAAGAATCGAGACGAGAAAAACTACTCCGAAAACAAAAAAGGATGCGACAGCGAGAGCAGTTCAGATAGTGAGAAAAGCTCGGATGACAAGAAGAGTTCTGAAAGCGAAAAGAGCTGCGATAGTGGAAGCCATTCCGACAGAGAGACTAGTCCGGGGAATCAGAGCTCCGAACGCAGGAAGAGCTGCGATAGGGATAGCAGTTTGGACAAGAAGAACACCGAGGATGAAAATTGTTCCACCAACAAGAGATCGGAAGAAATTTGCTGTGACAACGACAACAATTTCGCCAGTAAGAACAGTCGAGATGAGAAGAAAGGATCATGCGCAAACAGCAACACAGGATTATTGGAGAGGACATGCGTCAGATGCTACAAGGTTTTCTATGCCGATCAGAATGGCGAGTATCTGAACGCGGAGCGTTGCATTTACCACTGTGGTAAGCTGTACAATCACATGACCAACGACAGCTGGTATTGGACGTGTTGCAACCAGGCCAGATTCTCGCGTGGTTGTGCTGAATGGAAGACGCATGTATGGACTGGCCTCGTTCCTGGGATCAATGGGCCCTTCGCGGGATATGTGCACACCATGCCGTCTCCAATGTTTCTGCACGATAACGGTATCTATGCGATGGATTGTGAGATGTGCTTTACGTTGCAGGGTCTGGAACTTGCCAGAGTGAGCCTCGTCGACTTGTACGGCCAGGTCGTGTATGACACGCTTGTTAAGCCAAGTGCTGAGATCATCGACTTTAACACCAAGTTCAGCGGTATCACGGAAGAAGACATGTCTAACATCACCAAGACTCTTCCGGAGGTGCAGAACGACCTGCTCAATTTCATCCATGCCGAGACGATTCTAATGGGTCACGGTCTCGGGAACGATCTCAAAGCGCTGCGCCTGATCCACAAGAACGTCGTTGACACCAGTGTGATGTTTCCACACTACCTCGGCTTGCCATATCGTAATGGCCTCAAGACTCTGGCGCGTAAAGTGCTTAACCGGAAGATCCAGGAAGAGACACATAACTCCATCGAGGACGCTCGGGTCGTTATGGATTTAGTGTTGCGAAAGGCTCAATATGAGTGGCAGCAGTCTCTTGTTTGGTAGATAAAATCTTAGATTAAATCGCCATCTCGAGAAAAGACTCATCTACGTGAACAAGAACTATTCGATAGTCTTGACACTAGTTCGCGGTGAGATCATGTCGCGACAGGAAATGCGTGTTATTGGACTAATTTGTAAATACAAACCAGGAAGGATCGCGTTCTTTCTCTTAGTGTTCGTTTCCAGGGGTGGAATCTGTGATATTAAACATATAGTGCAATGCGTTCCTCATGTGCGTTTTTGTGTCCCCACGTTCGCCTCTGATGATAAGGGACGCGATTGTACTCGCATATTATATGCATACAATACATAACACAAACGTAACATACAACGCGAACGTAATTGACAATCACGGAGAAATTTATAAATTTAACGGACTACGCGCAGTCGAACATTTATCAGAAACTTTAAATCTATTTACTATTTTTTATATTCTTTGTACTTTTCATATTACTCTACTGTATACTAACGCTAAGTACTACACTTTTTACTTAACTGCTATCGATCTGATATTACTTTAAAACTTTATCTCGAACTCGCTTATTTTACTTTTTAACTAAACGACGATCGGTTACTGATTGGACTTTACTTTTTATATTTCAAATATTAATTGTGTTCGACTATTAATTTCTTTCGAATTTTATTTTTCTCCGATGTGCATTTTTTTATATATTTTCGTATGTGTTTTGTATTGTATATACGTAATTTTCATAAGCGTTTTATATATACTTTGTACATATATTATATATTGCATTATGGAGCGCAATTTTGTACTCGCAAAAATATGTATATTCGTGAAAATCTACGTATTTAACATGGAGATACGTATTCCTTAATTATTTAGTATAACGTATCACTTTATCATCCTGTCATGTGCATATTCCATCTTATCATTCATATTTCATTCAATATCACCGTTTTTTCCCCGCAAAGAGGACGAGCGGCGTCATTGATGCTGGTTGGTAAGTGCCTCTTGTTTCATTTCCACCGATGGGCAGTATTTAAATTCTACTCGAGATGACTGTGAATTTTTTTTGAACGAAATCATGACTACTATCCGTTAACGTGACTTGCCAACTGAAAAGAACATAAAGGAAATACTCAACTTACGGTTTTTGCAACTTAATTGTAAATTGATTAATTTTATTTTCCGATTAAAATTATCCTCGCTGCGTTTAACTGCATTGTTAAAAATGTATTAAAACTTATTGAAAGTTAATGAGAAGCATATTATTTCTCTTTAAAAAAATGATTTTTTAACGTGTGCGCGTATATTCGTGCGGTTGAATAGATTTCGACCGAGTTGCATCTTGTGCAAATAGACGCAGAAGGACATGCGGAATTACAAGTTGATATTCTGACTGTTATCAGTCGCAAGGTTTTCTCTTTATACGTGCTATCAAGTGCAATGTTCTGGCAAACAAAGTTTGCGAGCCACGTACTGTTGTTACGCATATCGGCCACGTGTGTGATACACGCGCTTTGCTTTTTATCAGTTTTCAACGAAAACACGACGAATCGTCATAACGATTAAGCTTATAATAGAGATATATATATATATATATATATATATATATATATATATATATGTATATATATATATACACGTATGTTTAATAATATTCTCACGAGAGAGACTGCCAGCGCTTTTATATTTCGACGATCTTCATATTTCATCGCAATCATCCCGTTAAGTAATCATGTAACGACAGAATTGTCTGTTGCGATAACGAATGTAATATTTAAATGTAAATATCGCGCCTAAGTAATGTGGAGACACAACGGATTTTGTAACGATAGTATTACCCTTGTACAATATGTATTTATATATATTTTTCTATCCTCGCGTATCGTAATTTTATACTTAAGTAGCATTAGCGATGAGTAAAATTTCTTTCGGCATTTCGTTTTTTTTAAATTTTAACGTGAAAATCGACTGAAATGCGAATTTTGCGATATTTTAAAACTAACGGCGGAGAAATAGCAGCTGCGGAACGGAGTTAGTAAGTTTTACTCATCGTCATCGATCTTTTAAAGCTTGACGGACAATTAGCGATGTGGTTGAATGATGAAAAGTAAAGCAAGAAAGTACGAGGTGCACTTGCGCCAGCTGATTATGATCTCACTACAGATTCCATAGAATCATATCACACAGGTCGCGATTCGATTCCTGCTTAAGAATAAGTTCATCCTTATTGTTTGTCAAATGTTAAACAAAGACAAATGATGCTCATAAACGTTATGAGCATGAATGGGATCGCGGCCACAATAACGCGCGACACGCACGTTATGATTTTACTAGTAATCCATATATAGCCGCAATACTATAGTTTAACTCTGAAAGTCACAAGATTGTCAACTTGATGAGAGTCATAGAAGGAAGCTCATTGGACACTCAACCTGATTGAGTGAAATCTGATAATCTCAAATTTCAACGTTTATTTCTTCAAGTGATATACATAAGTCTTACAATAGCTCTTAAAATAGATCATCTTAAGACTTTCGCAAAGCTACGAAGAGTGCGTCCCGCATTTTATTCACAGGAAGAGTGTCCAACGAATATCCTTTTCAGGATCAAAAACATTGTCATACAGCTTTGAACGTAAATATATGTTGATTATGAAATATATGTAGTATTGTTTCTGTGTGCTTTTATTTGGAATATCTTTCCTCCCGCTCCTAATAAATACCTTGGCTTACAAACTGTCCGTCGGCGTTAAGAGAAAAATTATAATAGTTATAATTATTTTTAATTAAAATAAAATATTTTAAGTTTGGAGACTAATTGTAAGAAGTATTAAAATTCAATTTTATTTTTAATTTTCACATGTGTGTGCAAGATATTATAATATTTTTCTTTGATTTTTTTAATTATTTCAAAATATAAAAAATATTTTTAGTTTGCAGACTGCAATTATCGACTCTTGATCTAAACGTGAAAGGTTTCGAATGGCAATCGGCCTGATATTCTTTGTCTTTTTGTGCGAAAGAATCGGGGCGTTGCGTTGTGAATGAAATTGTTGGCAAGCGTTGACTGTAGATTTTTCACGTGAAAAGTCGAAGGTCTCCTTATTCTCATCCTATCTCGCGATATTATGATGACATTTTTACAAGCCAAGTATACTGTCCTGAAAATAGCGGTGGTGTGTTTCAAAAATGCGTTGCGAGACAAGGCTGTCTGTCCATTCTGGATAATGATATTCTTCGTTCTCGACGATGTTGACGACTTTGCGCTATTAAATCCGACTCGTGTGTCTTCTCTTCGGAAGAGAAAAAAGTTTCGAGGAAGGACAAATAACGAAGAATACAGACTGCGTACTTAATTCTTGTCAGCTTGCTTATATCGAAAAAGGCTAGAAAAAAATTTATCAAAATTCGAATATCGACTCGAATAATTATTGCCTATTCACACTGAGACATTTGATTGCGTCCAACAAAAAAAAAAACAGCTTTACAACTACATACTTTGCATAAAACAAATGATTAGTTTAAACATTTAAATTCTCAGTGAAGATTATCAGCTGTACTTTTAAAAGAATATATGCAGTCTTTTTGAGGTCGTGTAAACTTTTGAAATCATTCAATATAAATGTTTATATTTAAAATTATATTAAAATAAAAACTATCAAAAAAATTATGTTTTGAAAATTTTATTTTGTTAAATACACCTTTTCTTTCCGTTCCAAAATATCTTTTTTTAAAAAGTATACATAATGTACTCTTTTCTTATGATTCAGATATGGTAACCTTAAGGAACTATACAAAGACAAGCTCAATTAAAAAATTTTTGCAACAGTTGTAAAGCCGTTTTTTCTGCTGAATTTCCAACTATCAAGTTGTTTGTATCGACAGTTAGACGACGAAACCTATTAGGTTGATAGGTATGCGATTGTGAATGGCAAGAATTTTAGTGGCGTTTGTCCACGTGTCGAATGGGCTCGGTCCGTTAAAAAGCGTATTGTTGTCCCTTTCGTCGGTCAAAGTCCGTAAACCGATCGGCTGTAAACATTGACACGATCATTTCCGCTTCGCACGAGGTATGTCACAACGGGTGAACTTCGACGACGTTTTTTTCCACGCTGCGTATTTCATCAGCCGTTATTGTGCCTAAAGCACAACGCTGATAACGATCGGATTGGCGAGGTGCAATGTGCTCATCGATAAACACGTTGATGACTGTATCGCATTGGCACAGCTGTAACGCGTGATTCGCGATAAATTTTCATGTCGTGTCGCCAATTCCTCCTATTGCTGTACGCTTTGGTAAATGCTTTCCGTGTATCTCGACTGTTGAGCTTACTATATGATTTTTAGACTATCGGATGGACAATGGGTTAAACAAGCGTGAAAAATTAGTTGACATTTTTATAGTTGAGAGAATTGACGAAAAATAATCGAAAAAATTAATCCTCACAAGGTGGAAAGCCACTCTATTGGTGCTGAAACAGCTAGCTCTCTCTCTCTCTCTTTCTATATTTTAAATACCTAATAATACTCTACATTTTAAATACCTAATAAATTTATGAAGTTTAAGATATTCGAGATGCATTCTTTTCTTGCTGAATTGTTTTATTGTTAGTCAAATATTAGAATTGCATACAGAATTTTTAGTAATTTATTAAATTGAAAGTCAGTATCATGTGTCGCGTAAGCTTAAAACTTATTCAAGGAAAAATTATAAAATTTTAAAAATAAACCCTACACCTTTTAAAGCAAGGTTGCTACAAATTTCTCATCTTAAAATTCCATAACTTTTTTCCGATTTCTTGACAAAATTTCAGGATTTTCTCTGATTTTTCAATAATGTTTTGAATATTTTTATATTTCTGTTTTCTGACTTGGAAACTGTCGAATATTTTGTTGAGAGAGCAATTTAAATTATTGTCAATGTTGCTGTAAACTGTTTGTATTTAATTATTAACTTGATAGTATTCCAAAACTGCGTAGGTGTGATTATGTATATTAAATTTCTTTAGGAATTTTAATTTTCCAGAAAATTTTACAAAACTTTCTACTCTTTTCCTAATCGTTTTCAATTTCCCTGATTTTTCTGATTTCCAGGTTTGCGGTAATCCTAAAGATTATTAAATAAATAATACACTTGTCATAAATAATAATACAGTCTTTGTGAAATTTCTGATAATGAGATAAGATTCAATTTCATCGAATTAGCATTTTTCTTTTACTTTCGTATTCCCATACGCACGCGGTAGCTGTAAAAACTTTTGCGAACTTTGCTACGTTTTCTTGTTCTTCTGATAGTTGTAAAATGTTGTCAGATATACGCGGTTGACTGTACTAAAAATATGTCACCGTGTGCATGTATAAAGGAGGTTACGCAATGACGTGACCGAGGAGAAAACGACGGCGAACGTCGAGG